AATGGTACATCTATAATCTACATGTTAGATGTAAAATATACATTGTAGATGTAGATAACAGATGTAGCAAAAAAATTTAAAATGTAAAAAATGTTTTTTTTTAATTCTAAAATTCTAAAAAATCATAAGCTCAAAAATGTATATACTGACTGAGTACGGGTATAAGTAGAGTCGCGTCCCCAGAAGCGACTCACACGTTCCTTCTCGTTTTAAATAATATTGAAACTTAAAAACTTATTCATATTGATAATAAGGTATTTTTATTTTTTTTTTTAGTTGCTGTTAAAAAATTAACGATTTGTGAAAATTAAGAAGTTCAGCTAAAGTTGATATATTTAGTTAACGAATTCGCAACAACTTGTGCAGGTTTTTTTTACTGCCAATAACTGATTAATGACGACATAAATGGTATTAATATATATGCAATAGATTTCACCAATTATCCAACTCATTAATTTTTTTTTAATTTTCTTGATTAAAATTTTTTGTATAGTTCGGTAGCAAACTCTAAAAAATAAAAAAAAAAAAAAAATAAAAACATGTTAATTACTATTAAATCCAAGGTAACAAAACTAGGGGGTGTCCCGTTTCAATTTCATACGGACATCACACATAGATAGGACTTTAAGCAGATCATCAACATACATTGTAAACCAAAGCGGGCCTAGTACCGATCCTTGAGGAACACCACGTAAAATGACTAGAACATTAGATCTCGACTTATTTGTAATTACTGCTTGCTTTCTATTAGTTAAGGTAGAGGACATCAATTTAATTGCATTAGTGGAAAGATTATATAGTTTTATTAACTTGTTTGAGAATCTCATGGTTAACCGTATCAAAAGCCTTACTAAAGCCCAGTAGCGTTAAAAAGGTTACTTCACTATTGTCCATTTTTGTTCTAATATCCTCAACTATTTTAATTATTGCTGTCGTGCAGCTTCTATGTACCTTTTTTGAACCCGGACAGCTAATTACACTACTCGACAAAATTGAACTTTTGATTTTGGCTGTGAACCAAAATTACTTTTTCTGATAGATTTCGGGATTTAAAAATTTTTGTAGTACTTTATTATTTTTTTTATGGTGTCATTTTTTTTTAAAGAATTTTTAAAATCTGGTATTTTTTTTCTTGGTTTTTTTCAGAGGTAGTGCTTCTCTTTTTCACATAACTTTAGTATCTTATATCTTGTTGAATAGAATTTTGCAGTTCTGAAAAGCTGACAAACGCAGCTATAAATCAGACCCAGACCTGCAGAATCTGCAGCTTAACGCCTGGAAGATATTAAGCTTTCAAATTCAAATTTCATCATTTTTTGCGGTATTATTTTTCGAAATTTTGACTTTAAAAACTCGAGAAAAGTCGAAAATAGTTCTTGGCATGCATTTTTAGTATTAGATAGACGCATTAAGCTGCGGACTTATAGCTGCGTTTGTCAGCTTTTCATAACTGCAAAGTTCTAAGCAACCAGATATAAAATACTTAAGTTATGTGAAAAATAAGAGCACTACCTCTGAAAAAAAAACAAACAAAAAATACCAGATTCTAAAAAATTCTTAAAAAAAAACTATTCCATAAAAAAAAACCATAATTCGTTAAAAATTTTTTAACCCCAAAATCTATAAGAATATGATTGTGTTCACAGGGTTAAGTCCAATGAACGCCATTTCATTTAGTAGATGTTTCTCTTTTAATATGTTACTATTAAGGTCAACTGTTAGTATAATGTCCGTGTACGTCAGTGTTAGGTTAATTACACTACTCGACAAAACCGAACTTTTTTTTTCCTCAAGGATCCAAACCGACTTTTTCTGATAGATATGGGGCTTTAAAATTTTTTAAAGAATTTGGTTTTTTTTCTATGGCAGAACTTTTTTTTGAAGAATTTTTGAAGTCAGGTATTTTTTTGTAAGCTTTTTTCAGAGGTAGCGATAGTTTTTTTCACATAACTTTAATATCTTACGTCTGGTTGTACAGAACTTTGCTATTTTGAAAAGGTAATTAAAACAGCTAGAAGTTGAGCCCAAATTTTTTGTGATTTTAGCGTACCGTCTGGGAAATATAAAGCATTGAAATGCAAATATTATGATTTTTGTGCGGTATTTTTAACGAAATTTTGATTTTAAAAACTCAGGAAAAGTCGAAAAAAAATTATATCTTGTGTCCTCTATTTTTTTGTGTATAGGTGCGTTAATTTGGCGTCGTTTAAGGTATCGCTCATTAAAATCTATGGAGAGACTTTGGAGCTAAAATTCTTTAACCAAACCTAAAATATGGAAAAAATGAACAAAAAATACCTTTTGGAAGGTTGCGAGCCCAACTGCCAATTGGGAACAAAGCAAACGAACAAGGGTTGTACATTTGGTACCTGATCGCGTTCCTTTGTTCCCAATTATTTTCGTCTGGTAAATACCTTTACCAGTCCTTCGTGTCTGAAGAATGAGCACTAAGCACTGAGCATTTAACTTGTCTAAAATTTCGGTCTGATTACACTACTCGACCAAATTGAACTTTTTCTGATAGATTTCCGGATTTAAAAATTTGTTTAGTACTTTGTAGTACTTTTTTTTACCAACGGAAGCCCGACGTCTAGGAGGGAGACCTCGTCCTTGTGGCCGAGGACAACATACCTCCACAGGAGTTCCTCGGGAGAGTCATCGCCACGCAAGCCGGAGAGGACGGCATGGTAAGGTTGGCGCCGCTACCATGTTGTTGAACCCGCGTTCAACGGGGCCGGTGTTTCTTCATGTCATCGTCTTAGTCAATGTTTTATGTTAAGATTATTTTTGAATTGTTTGAAGTCTAGTGTAAGTAGGTTTGCAAGGTGGGAGCGCAATAAAAGCTCGCTCTTTCGCTCAAGGTGAATTCGCCCCGCTTTGCCACCGTATGTTAGCTATGAACGAAATTTATGAATATGTATGTATGTATGTATGTTAGAATATAATCTTAAAATTGAATTCGATCGAGCACGTACCATATTTTCGTTCCGCATTTTAATTAAACCTTTACGCCCATAGTATTTCGGAATTTCTCAGTTAGAAAAAGAATTCTAAATTTTCAGTTGGTTTCATCAATTGTAATTTTAAATATTCTAATGCTTTCTGACATATATCCGTCCATTTGAAGCTAACATGCTTTGATAAATAAATTGTAAACTTTATTTAAATGTTCCTAGTGCTACAAGTTATACACTTTTCAACTTAACTTATCTTTAACAACTATAAAATTATAATTTAACTTTTAAAATACTAAACAAGTCACATTAAAAAGCAAATAATTTAAAACATTATTCTTATATATAAATTTAAAATTTTGGTAATATATGGCAGTATTGTTAAACAGTGGTGCGCTACTAATTGTTTTTAAATAGGGTGGTAACTGATTATAAAGTCGTACAGCCCAGATCAAGTAGTGTCTATTCGAACAAGAAAGTTTGGTTCTAAGGTTTGGATCTGTCCTGTGCGACAGATTGAAACGCATCTTCTCAAAGAAGTAATCTAGAGTCTTAGTGAAAATAATTTTGTAAAGCTGTATTAATATACAAAATTAAAATTTTTGATAATCATGCCGTTACGGACGTTACACACTTTTCCATTAGTATTTTTTAAAAAACATGTGTAAACATGTGTGGAAAACAAAATTGTTAAAACCCATTCTGTTAAAATAAAAAACCCAATTTTCCGTTACGGACGTTACACACAGTGTACCCATTTTTATACCCGTACTCAAAAAAGAGTTAAGGGGTATATTAGATTTGTGGTAAAAGTGGATGTGTGCAACGCAGGGAAGGAAACGTTTCCGACCCCATAAAGTATATATAAAGCGGAGGAGATGTAGAATCTAAATGGAACTTGTACAATCTACATGCTAGATTTTGCTCATTTTGCTCATCTCTTTTGAAGCTTGAATATGTATGCTATTATTCCATTAACAAGCATTTGGATTTTGGACAACTTTAAATTTCTCCCTTTGGCTAAAAACTTTCGATCTAACCATTATGCAAAATTTCTATGTGAAACAAATAATGCGAATCAGAGTGGTGGTATACATATTTAACCTACTTTTAATTTAACAATCAGGATTACTGCAATCAAATATTTAGATGAAAAAAGTTTGAAATTCGTAATATATTTGAAAATTGGTTAGCATAAGCCTGAATATTAAAATTTCATCTTTTTGTCATAAGTTTTACAAATTATTTTGTTTCCATCAATTTTAAAGCACTTTTCGGGAAGGCTGTTAAAACCTTTTCCTATCAAATTTGTCTTATGTCTGTTGATTTTCGTCATTTCACTTGACTCCACTTCATTCAAGCAAAGACTATGCAAATCCAAGATGTTGCATGTTGTACCAAAAAGCTGTCTACTTGGCGTCGTCTGTTTGAAATCCTAGAATCCTACAGCAATTACAAAGGCCCAGAATAGACTTACTTTTCGTTTTAAAAATGTACAGCATCAAATACACAGTCTTTGGCGACGCGTAGAACTCAGTACCTTCGCACAAACAAATGGTTTAAAAGGATTGTTTGGTTTGGTTTGTCCTGGGCAGTACGGGCTCGCTATTGACAAACAGACAAAAGCCAAGTAGGCAGCGGAACTGCGGTCAGAGACAAAGGATAGCACAAAAGAGAATAAACGAGACTCGTTTAAGACTTAGTCTTAAAATAAATAAGCTGCACCAGTTTTTGGCTACATTTTGTCTGTGCTTAGCATCAAGTACAGCTATTTTGTTTTCATAAAGTGGAAAGTGGCAAATGAGTCTCGTTGTTGATTGTTTAAAACAAAAACAGAAATAATATTCTTGTATATTGCTCGCAGTTTAATTTTAAATTTTTCGATGAATATTTTTTTGCATATTTTCGATATGCATTAAAATTGTTTATATTTGAAAGATAAAAAGAATAAATACAAATTTTGATAATAATCTGATGAAAATTTGCAAATCCACGGTCATTGAAGTAAACTTTATGTATTCTTTTATTTATTTTTATAATCCTTACCTTTGTCTGAACAGGAAAAAACTATTGCTTCATTGGTCCTAACCAAGTTCACAATAAAGCTTGTCAAAACCGATATCTCCATATTTGGCGTTGCTCCACGCGCAGCGATAAATACAATCAAAGCAATGGAGACCCTCATTGTTTATTCTTATTGCGTAGTAAACAGCTACTGCTTTTATATGGCTACGAAGCCAATGGATTGACAGCATAAATGCAGGTGAAAATATAAATAATTGTTTGAGTTTATAATGACAACACTGTCCTACAAATTATTAATTTTTTATAAAAAGTCAATAGTACTCTTGACTTTCTTACTTACTTTCTTCATTAATTTGATGATTAACAGACAACAGAGCTAAGCGCAGACAATAATTAATTAATATATTATTATTTTTTATTTTCTAAATTTATTTATTTGTCGTATCAACACATTTACTTAAATACTAACAATAAAACTATGCAAAAAAAATTGTATTTGTTTAAACTTAACGAAACAATAGTTTTCGGCTCTACCAATTACATTTTTTTTAACTCCAAAAAGATTGTGCTTTTAGATTTTGTAAAAGAAAAGAATATACAGGGGTGCCTAAAGGAAAATTGAATGTGTAAACCAATCAATTTTGAGAATTATTTCCAAATTGTGATCGGAGCAACCTGGAAGATGGTATAAGTATAAAAAAAGTAGATTAATATGATTTTGATGACGGAAAACAAAAGATGCGACATGAGGCAAAAGAACACGAGGCGGAAGGCTTACCAGGAAAACCGGTATATAAATAGAAAAAATAGAATGCCGGTACAAATTTGTACGACAGTTACAGGAGGGCTTAGGTTACGACACACGTGTGGCAGAAGAATTTCTGACCAGTTCGATCAGTGCCTGACTCATCGCTTTAGATGGTGGGCCAATCCCAACCCAGCGAACATCAGCACCTCCTTGGCATTTGACCTTGCCTGCCGGCTAAGATACAGCTAAACCACCGTTAACAGCATCTACATACATATTTTCACACCGATATATCTACATACACTTCTCAGGTCGATTAACTAACAAAAAAAAAAACAGACAATTATAATATATAGTGCCTTGCTTGTGGTGACTGTCACGGTGCTTTGCGTGATTCTTACGAAAATTATATCAGCGCCCGTTGCCCATGCGTTTTGGCCGTACACTTATGCGCACATAGATATATAGATCAACATGTCACCAGAGCAAGAATACCATAGCCCAACAATTAAATTATCAGTTCAATTAAAATATTTTTATATTATCATTAATTTTACAATTCTATAAGCATCTAAAAGAAACAAAAGGCATCATTAAAAAAATATTAAAACGAGAAGGAACGTGTGAGTCGCTTCTGGGGACGCGACTCTACTTATACCCGTACTCAGTCCGTATATACATTTTTGAGTTTATGATTTTTTAGATCTTTTAGATCTGTAAGTTTTCTCGGGTCGTTTTAATTAGTTTATTTTTTCGTTGATGATAGGTAATGATGATGATAGGTTCCTGGGGTTCCTGGGGATCTCCGAGGTCTCTCCCAGCGCTGCAAAAAGGTCGAGGGACTTTGCTGTTCCAGTTTTCGGTGTCACTCCGTATGGGAAAAAATAGTTGGACTTAGGACACAAAACTGTTAGAACGGTTTCACTTATGAAAGATTTAAGTACCTTTTATCTTCTTTAAAACACAACTGATCAGTTCAGGCCACCAGAACTATGATCGCCTTTGAACGTCTCTGATTATGTATATGCCTTCACAGATTCACTCAGTTAATAATATGTTGAAAGACACTGCTGATCTAATGCAGTTTCGCTTTGATTGTGATCCATCCAAAATTTTCGTTACTACCAGCTCTTACGGGGACTGTTGGAACTTTATCTCCACAACCAACGGGGTAATCGTTTGATTCTTTTTTCCTTTCTTTTTCCGCTTCGAATCAAACCAACTTTTTCTGATAGAAAAACTTTTTTTAAAGAATTATGTTTTTTTTCTATGGCAGAACTATTTTTAAACAAATTTGTTAAGTCCTTTATTTTTTTGTTAAGCTTTTTTCAGAGATAGCATCAGTATCTTACATTTGGTTGTAATAAACTTTGCCATTCTGAAAAGCTAAGAAATGCTTGTAATTTCAGCTTACCGTTTGGGAAATATTAAGCTTTAAAATGCAAAAATTGATGACTTAAAAAAGTCAGGAAAAGTCGAAAAGTTGTGTTCTTATATTTTTTGTGTATAGGGGCCTTAATTCGGCGTCGTTTAAGATATTGTTCATTAAAATCTATGGAGAAACAGTGGAGATAAAATTGGTTGACCAATGATGATTTTCGGAGGTTTAACCCTTTACCATTGCTGGCCCACCAAGCAATGCAATACTTTAGGCAAAGCTTACACAGAGCTTCCACGATTAACGGAGTAATCATACGAGTCTGAGTAAAGCTTTTACATACGTAAATTCTTCCGATCCACGCTGATTCGCTATGTCCAAACCTAACTCTGCAATAATTACTCTCTTCTCTTTGTAAGGAACTTATTTCAGGCTGGGGTAAGCTCAGTCTGTCCAGGGTCTGCGAGGCAGAGCAGTGCGTTGGCGGGCTCAGGGGTCAGGAGGGCGGGCGCTGCGTTGTCGCAAGGCTCAGGTGGAAGTGTGTTAGTTGTTAAATTGAATAAAATTACTCGAGAGACGTGTGATTTTGGTATATACTTATGTATTTATTCAAGTAATATTCAATAATGGGGTCCCTGGCTGCACCATGTGGTTGTTGCTTAGAACTTACGTGTGGCCAAAACTAGGGGAATGAACCAGGTTAATTTTTATATACGTGGGTTTCGTGTAGCCATCTGCACATTCTGCGTTCGCGGCATTTTGTGTGTGTGTTTATTGATCCAGATATTTGCGCTTTTTAGAATGCGAGGGAGCGACTCTATTCTGTTTGATCGGACCGAGCTGTGTGGGGCGAGGCTATGTCGGCGTGCTGCGAAGGTACGTGTGCGTAGCTTGGAGATTTCTCGTTGAGTGATCGGTCGTTCCAAACTCCGCGTGCCTCGAGCCTGTTTTTGTTTCTTCTTCTTGCTTTTCACTAGCCTCGCTTGTTTTTCTATCGATAGTTTTAGATGTTGCCACCTCGTCCACCATCGCACAGTGGACGGTCTTGTATGGAATCAGCGGCCAAAAATAGTTCCACTGCCTATATCAAAGTGAAATTTTTGTCTTAGCTTGTTAAAATTATAATAAGTAGAATACAATAATATTTAGAAAAATAAACCGATCCAATCCCTCTCCCACTACTCACTCCCAACAAAAAATAATATGTGAAAAACTTGTGCAATATTTTTTTTTGCTTTTGACTAGTTTATTAAAATAACAAATTAAAGAAAAATAAACTGTAATAAAATGATAATGATGATAATGTAATTTACTTTGTTTGAGATGCCAAGCTTTTTAGGCACCTATATTTATCCAAATCAGTTAAAGACTTTGATTTAAACGTTATAATGTTTGTTTATACCGGCGGCTAGCTGAAGCCAATTGCTCGCTCTTTTGCCCAGCCAGATAAATGTTCACAAGCGGGGGTTCAGTATGCAACCTATGCGGCGAGAGATTAGCATAGAACTCCTTGGGCCACGACGGCCGATCAATGCAAGAGCCGACGCAGCAGGTGCAGAGCGCCCTTTAACAGGGAGAGCGCAGCAGCACTGCCGAACGCTGGGGACATACATAAGCTTAGGTTTCGATACTCTTTTACTAGTTACAGCTACATTTAATATTGTGATAGACGCTTAAGTAGCCGCTGGCCCGAACATACTCCCCCCGTTGGAAGCTCGCCTTTCAACTGACTTCTCAAGGGGCAGCAAACACAGCCGAGTAACGGCCCTCCTGATGGTTCCTGAAGCCGTCTTCAAATCAGCCACGCGGCCTACTCCATCCTTGCCTTTGACGACGTCGACCACTCTAGCCAGTGGCCAACGCATCGGAGGAAGATTCTCATCCTTCACCAAGACGACATCGTTGACGCAGAGGTTTTTCGTAGGCGTACGCCACTTCGAGCGCTCTTGCAAAAGAGTCAGATACTCTTCGCGCCAACGCTTCCAGAATGTCTGCTGCAGTTGAGTGACCCGCTGCCAACCATCCAGACGGTTGTAGTTGAGCTTCGTTAGGTCAGGCTCGAGAATTGACTGATGCGGGCCTCCCAAAAGCAGATGAGCAGGCGTCAACACATCCAAGTCATCAGGATTTTCTGAAAGCGAGAGCAAAGGGCGAGAATTAACAATTGCCGCGATCTGGCAGATCAAGGTGCGGAGCTCGTCGAAGCTAAGGATGGATGGCCCAACTGAGCGGTACAGGTGATACTTTGCGGACTTCACGGCCGCTTCCCACAATCCGCCAAAGTGCGGAGAGCGCGGGGGGATGAAATGCCAGTCGATGGTGTCAGCCAAGCAGGATTCATGGACTTCTTTCATGTGCGAGTCGCTCAGGAAAAGCTTCTTCAGCTCCAGAAGCTCATTCTTAGCGCCAACGAAATTTGTAGCATTGTCCGACCAAATATGGCTTGGCCTTCCTCGAGTGGACGTAAAACGTTTCAGTGCGCCTAGGAACGATGCGGTGGTCAGATCTTTAACAAGCTCCATGTGTATGGCCTTAGATGTGAAGCAAATAAACACGCTTATGTAGCACTTGATCGGAGGCCTCGTGCGGATTTCTGATCGGTAGAAAAAGGGCCCACAATAGTCCACTCCAGTTACTTGGAAGGCCCGCGATCCTTCCAGACGCTCCTTAGGCAAGTCCCCCATAATGTGCTCAACCATGCGCGGCCTCGTCCTGAAGCATCTTACACACTTGCTAACCGCTTTCTAGACGGCTTTGATTCCTCCAATAGGCCAATATTCTAATCGAATTTTAGCAAGCAAGGCGCGAGGTCCGGCATGGAGGTTCCGTTGATGATAATAGCTTATCATTGCAGATGTTACGGGATGTCCCTTGGGCAAAATAAGCGGGTGCTGAGCATTAAACGGGAGCGATGAGTTGCCGAGACGACCTCCAACTCGAAGTAAACCTGACGGATCGATGAACGGAGATAGCGAACTGATGGAGCTAGACTTCCTGACTTGCCCATTGCGTCTAATCTCCTTTATGTCCGACC